TATTCAAATAAACTTACATTGAAGCACTTTTGAATACACAAGAACGAGCAAGAAACTTGTGTGTTGCTCTTTTAAATAATTTTATTGTTACTTTACATTTTAAGTGAATACAAATTACCAATTAGCACTAATTCAATTAATTAGTCAAATAGAAAAAAACATTAAATATATAACCAACTGGGTAAAGAACTAAATAAGAGGAAATCACTCGTAGTGATTAGAGCAGACCAGTCCCTACAAGCAGCACCCGTTCACGAGTAAGACGGATAAATAAAATATATTAATAATAAAAGAGTTTCTGTAGTGCAATCTGATAATGGACCTGAATTCGTGAATAAAGAATTAGTACATTATTTTACTTTTAATAGTATCAAACATGAAACAACAGTCCCATACAGCCTTTTATAAAACGGTGTGAGTGAACGAACAAATATAATAAAAAAATATATTACTACTCGATGGATTTATATAATTTTGTTTAGTTCCGCTACAATTAACATATGTGAGATTACGAATATTCGGTGTGGAAACTAGACTACCGTTACGACCTTCTCTATTGGCGATCAAATTCCGACCGTTATTGAGTCTACACCCATATCGCGACACGTGTTTCGCCTCTGAACGACGTATCATCAGCCGTTGAATGGAGTTCGGGTACAGCTCGGAAGCGTAGTGTTGACTCCTCGGCGACGACGCGCGAGTCGCGGTTTGGTTGGCGACGCCATCGGCCTGACCAGCGCTACGACCTTCTCCAGCTTCTCCAGTGGCGATCAAATTCCAAAAAAATGGATATATTTTTGGATAATAACACAGAGTCATCTACTCCTAAGCTAAGCAGAGCTTGTGTTATGGGTACTGGATTATTAACAAACAACTAGTGTAGTTTTTTGTACGTCGGTTAGATTCCAACTTTCGACGTTTGTAGACATATATGTTTGTGTTACACTAGCTTATAATTAGGATGAATAAATGTAAATATAAAATAAAAAAAAACTTGGACAATTTATACAGCGCCATCTAGTCCCAAGCAAGACAGAGCTTGTGTTATGGATCTTGGATAATTAGTTTTTTGTACGCCAGCTAGATTCAAACTCTTGACCGTTGTAGACTTATGTAGTCTGTGTTTTAAACCACTAGGTTATGATGCTGTGACACACATGTGTGAATATATATCATATTTGACGGCCTCGATGGTCTAGTGGTTAAGTACACCGCCTTACTTCTGATGGTCGCGGGTTCGATTCCTCGCACGGCACAAATATTTGTATTCATGAGTACGATTGATTATATCGGTCTGATATGTATGTGTTTACGAAAAAATTGTCTATGTTTTTTATCAGTTATCTGGTGCCTATAACACAATCTTTAGTTAGCTTAACTTGGTACTAGTATATATATATATATATATATATATATATATATATAGTAGTTCCAAGGTATATAGGTATTCCCAAAATAGGTAGGTAATGAGTGCAGACGTACTTCCCATGTGATACCGCCGATCCCCTTTTAATGTGCGAGCTAATGTTAACATTAATAATGAATAATTTGGGCTCCCGAGTGGGCGAGGCAGACATTGTCGCGAGAAAGCTTTTAAGTGACCCTCTTACGAGATGACCGCCTCGGTCATTAGCCGGGTCCGTCCGGCCGCCATTACACGCCGCCGTGAAACAAAAATTGTCCGCATCGCAAAAATAACACCAATTAAAATTTATATTACCCATACAAAAATCCCACGACGCGAGGCCCGGCCGCCCCGCTACCAAATGGCCACAGTAAATTTCGCCAGTTTAATTCTGGCGCTGTGGACGCCGCCATTTTTCAAAAACAATCACAATATAAAACAATGACACGTATCGTCGCGAACCTAACAAATGGAAGCTACGTTTAAAGCGCTTTGTAGCTCCAAAAAGCGGTGTGAATATTGTAGGAGCGAGGTGGAGTATCTCCATACGATCCGACCATCCGACGCACCGGTCTACCCATAGGTGTGTATAGAACAATCCACTTACGGAAATTCCAAAGATTCCTTCCAAAGAATCTAACATTTTGTTTGTTTCATTGTTAGTATATATGTAGTACCTACAGTATGCTTGTCAGTCAAACAATTAGATTCAGTTTACGGCTACATTATTGAAGTATCTCACGATTTCTTACCGTTGCTTCTCAATTTATATACTCAAATATTCTATATGTTCACAAAAATCTTCACTTATTTCCAAAAAACTGTAATATTCACAATATCAATACTAGATATAAAGACAAACTTGCTGTCCCCAAGTATCGTTTAGAAGAAGTCTATAGGTCTTTTATGGGAATAGGTATAAAAATTACAATAAGATACCAAAGGATATACTGTAATTACCTTTAAATAAATTTAAAACATCTGCTAAATTATATTTACTGAACAAAACCTATTTTACTCACTAAACGATTCCTTGAATGACGAGCGTGCATGGCAATAGTTGGTCATGCACGGGATTTTCATTTAATGTTAGACATAGACACCTATATATATATATTGTAAATAAACTGGCTTTTAAAAAAAATAATAATTGAGTTTCTTGTCAGTTCTTCTCAATTGTATCTGTATACTGAACTGGACGGTAGGGAAAAAAGATACAATATAAAAAATTTGACGTTCATAAGCGGCTAAAATGTCCTATATGAATAAATTATTTTTTAATCTGAATTGGATGATAAGCAAACAAAAGAATTAAAAATAATCAGCACCAACAATGGATAATAACAATAAACAGAAGCTGTCCCGTTTCATGAACTATATAGCCAGTGAATCGCCTCAGCATCATCTGACAAAACGTAACGTCCCAATGTAAAACAATCGCATTTGAAACAAGTACGCTCAGTGCTCCGACTGAGAGCCGTCGCCGGGGTAAGTGGGTCGGCCCATGAACAAAAACGTGGAAACAATACAGGAAAACAAGCCGCGTGGGGGGCGGGCGCGGTGATGTGCGACGCGATCCGTGTAACAACGTGCGACTGATTGCCTCTGAAAGGGTGAGTTGAAAAAATAAAAATAAAACTGCTGATTAAAACGCGAACGACACAGTACAAAGCGATTATCGGACCGTACTTCAGCGTCTAGTACTTTACCAACTCGTACATATCACCCCCGCCCCTGCACCCCCGTCCCCGCATCACGCTCCTGTTGCTGCCTCCGCAACTCGTTATTGTTTCACATGATGACGACAGATTTGTTTCAGTCAATCTTTTGTTAGCTATATCAAATTTCAATGTGTTAGATAAAACAAAATAACATTAGACGATCCGCTGCAATTGCAAATTTTGAAATTCAAATTCGAAAATAATTTATTCATGTAGGACATTTTAGCCGCTTATGAACGTTAAATCATTTACATTATATTTTTTCCCCACCATCCAGTTCGGTATATAGATACAATTGAGAAGAACTGGCAAGAAATTCAACTGAATTACTTTATTTTTTAAAGCCAGATTATTTACAATGTATATTTATATATGTGTCTATGTCTAACATTAAATGAAAATCCCGTGCATGAACAACTATTGCCATGCACGCTCGTCATTCAAGTAATCGTTTAGTGAGTAATAGACTTTGCTCAGTAAATATGATTTAACAGATGTTTTGAATTTATTTAAGGGTTATTTTAGTATATCCTTTGGTATGTTATTGTAAATTTTTATACCTATTCCCGTAATAGAGCTATTATCTTTTTCTAAACGATACTTGGGGACAGCAAGTTTGTCTTTAAGTCTAGTATTAACATTATGAATATTTACAGCGCCGTCAATGTGTTGTCGTCCATGTGAACCTATTTATTTAATTTCTGTATATCAATTGTATTTTTATTTCAGTTACCAATGTTTTGGTGGAATAAAACAAAATAATGAACTCTTCCACAATTTACAAAGTCCAATGGTTTTCAGGCAATTGCCTCATATTTATATTTGCTTCCAAGTAGTGTTAATTTCAACTGCGCAGTGCTTCATTTCGAGTGGAATTTATTTCGGAAGAGTCCCTGATATTCGAAAATTAATTTGTTTTCTGTATTGAGTAAATAAATTGATATATTTTATTTTCTTTCACTACCAATGCTACACAATTATCAGAAAAGGTCCTTAGATGAAAAGTAAAATAGAATCGAAAATTATTTATTCAAGTAAATCTACATTTATGCAGTTTTGATATAGCAATAATTAATTTTTTAATCTACCCCTCATTCGGAAAGCTGTCTCAACACAAGAAGCACGAGCAAGAAACTTGCGTGTTACTCTTTTACATAATCTAGGAGAAACTTACATCGTGCCATTTTAAATAATTTGAAAAAGACGGTAAAAAATAACGAAATAGTTGTGTTTATATTGCATTCCCCTATAGGCATCATTGCAACCTTCCGTTTTGGTTGCCAATGTGTTTTTGTTGCTAATTGCATTAATTTAATTTTTTTTACCCTTCAGAATCCCTAATATAGGGTATATTAGGGGAATCTTGAAAAACCTCACGCTGTAGCCCCAGCAGGTAGTTTATTTCACAATCTAAGTACACTGGAGGAAATTCTTCTGAAACCGCACTGTCCGAGACCACTTAAGTTCTAGCGTGTATGGATTAATTTCCTGTCGATAGCGATCGTAAATGTAAACAATAATATAAATCTACGGCACAAATACCGGCAGTACTAGAGGCATTGTTCGCGAAGACGGGAAACGGCCTGATGGTATGACCCTGGTCCCGTGGAAACTCGGAAAATGTTTAGTATTGGATGCCACGTGTGTGGATACATTGGCATAAATCTTAATTTTAAAAAGAATATACGAATATACAAAACAATACCTTGTATACGTTTATTTTATGGTAAAATATATTTAACGTATGTTGTTTTTTGTAATTGTTTATATAGAAAATTGATATTGAGGAATTATGTATATTTGTATGACATTTATAAAAAAAATAATATAAATCAATCGTATACGTTTATTTTATGGTAAAATATATTTATCGCCACGAAGCCAGAGAGCTTCCTGGCGGGCGGGTTGGCTCGCACGTGGCACTCGAAGTAAACATCGTCACCCTCCTTGATATCTCCCGCCGCCAGTGAGCTGCCTAACCGCAGCTTCACTACCGGTGGATCTGGCAATACCAATACCATGATCACAATCTCAATTCTAAATATCTATATTCATGTAGGTCTATTACAGGCTTATGATATGTCAGAAACTACTGTCAAGTCTGAGAGCATTCGAGGTAAAGGACAAATATGCTAGTATATGTTTATAAAAGTATAGATTGAATTTTAAATTCAAAATTAGTGAGAATAGAGTGACCACCAGCATATGCTATAGCAATTTTGTCAAAAGGTCATAGTCTAATCAGTGGCCGTGAACGGAACAGAACAGTTTAATCTGAGGAAAACTATACAAAGCCGTATAAAAGATACCTTTATATCACTTATTTGTGCGTCCAACAACACTTTAAGATTTGTTACAGTTTTAGAAACCTCACTGTCATATCAACTTTTGTTTAAATTTGTATTGCTAGGATCTGGCAATACAAATATCATGATCACAAACATCAATTCTAAATATCTACATTCATGTAGGTCTATTACAGACTCTTATGATATGTCAGAAACTGCCGTCAGTTCAGCATTAGAGATAAGAAGAACTGACAAGAAACTCAGGTCTTATTCTTTTCAAATGTGCTTGTACATGTGATCCTTTCTTTTTAAAAACTTTGTATTTTTGATGTCTGTTTTTTTCTATGTCATTTTTGACTGTTACTTCTTCGCTGTGACCCCTTTTGGGAAATATACGCATTTATTAAAGTGAACTTATTTTTACTAAAATAGTCATTGTATTCCCACTCAGTTTACAAAAATACAGATTAATTATTAAATTCAAAATTAGCGAGAATAGAGTAACTACTAGTAATTTTTCATTTACATATTGATACGTACAAACTACACTAATTGTCCACGACGTTTCCATAAACAGTGTGGTCACGTTGGGGTTCTCCGCTCTGCAGGTGATCGGCTTTCCATCGTCGTCCAGCGTGGGCACGAAGCTCATCACGCTCACCGTCAGATTGTCTCGTAGTTCCTCCTGTTGGCAATATAACAGATGTTTAAATTTACTGTAAAAGTATAAGTATAATTATGAAGAGGGGATGCCACTACACATCCTATGTGGTTGTAGCCCACTCATGTATAGAAATATCTCCTTTAGAAAGTATACATTCTATATTGAGAAGATAACTAGATCTAGTCAAGATCGCTGGAAGGCATTGGATGCGAGCAGCGCAGGACCGATCGTCGTGGAGATCTTTGGGGGAGGCCTATGTCCAGCAGTGGACGTCTTCCGGGCTGCGATGATGATGATGATGATGATTGAGAAGATGCAAACCATCGCTCCTAAGAATATCCCTGAATTATAGCCTGACAAGTTTAGACTGGGATTTTTGAAAGAGGGTGAGCACAATAGATTTATACAGGTCGCAGTGTGTAGCACTGGACCTGTAGGTCCTAGTACCTGATAATAGCATTATCTACCAGCTACCCAAAGGTTAGCTGGTAGATTATGGCATATCACATCAAGCTCGCCTCTTGTACACTCTTTATAGTGCAATAAAGAATAAAAAAAAAGATTATGAAAAAATTAAACCTTAATAGTTAAGAAATTAATACCGTAACAATCCGAACAAGGTGAAATTAAATTACAATAATTTTCTTAAAAAAAACCGACTCCAATATTTAAAAAAACTGTGCCTATCTCTATACATTTTCAAATGAAAATAGGTTTTTGAAATCAGTTTCTAAATGACGGAGTTTTAAGTAACAAGCATTAAAAAAAACAGTCATATTTCTATCGTCCTCCTCCTTTTTTGAGGTCGCTTTAAAAGAGAATACATGCAAGATTTATCTGTAAATTGCTGTAAATTTTAGAAATATATTACACTTCAAATATATAATATACATGAATTACATCAGCCTTATCTCAAATGTCATATTGTCAACCAAAGTATTGTATTCTAAAACCGTAGTATGTATGTACTACTATTATTAGTCCATGGAGTGAGGGAGGCAAAAGAAAGACTTCTTATCATACCAAGAAAGTCACAAAAGGCGACCAGGGAAACAAAGTACAAATAGGTGCTCTAAATCTTTTTGCGCACAGAGAGTTAGTTAATGTCGCAAGGATTTAACAAGTGACACCTTTAGTTTTGCAAACATTCACACTCTACGCTAGACTTATGATATATTTTTATGATTTAGTATGGGCGTTAGTTTAAAAAACAATGGAATTGCTTAAGTATTTTTTTATGGATTGGTGCTTCCACCTGTGCATCTGGTTTACGCTGGCGGGCCACCAGTGGAGGATGAGATTAGGTCAGCTCATCGTTATTAATTCATCAGGAATTTAACACGAAGGTTTCCCTCTGGAAACCAGCCCTCTGGATGCACGTGAAAATCAATTTGACTTGAATTGCTAGTAATGCTTCATACCGATTCATGCATATTTTTTTATACTATAATGGTGGCAATCAAGCATACGGCCCATCTGATGGTAAACGGTTACCGTAGCCTATGAACGCCTGAAACACCAGGGGTATCACGTGCGCGTTGCCGACCCTTAAGAAACCTTAATATACCCTTCTTGAAAAACCCCATGCTGTAGTCTCGTGGGAAAACCTCGGCAGGAAGTTCATAAGTGTACGCGGGAGGAAACTCCTCTGAAACCGCACTGTTCGGGACCATTTAGGTTCCAGCGTGTGGGGATGAATTCCCTGTCGATGGCGAGCGGTGCGGTGGTAAAAGGTGGCTGTCGGCATCATGTCGAACAATTCCTCACAACACAGTCCGTTGTATAATCGGTAGAACACAAAAGCGAAGCGAAGTCTCGCCTCAAGTTAAGTGGCTCGATACCGCTAGAGAGATTGTGATCATCGACAATTCTCATAGCACGTCTCTGAACCGAGTCAAAAGGACCGAGCTGGTATCCAGGTGCTCCCGCCCAAAGATGAGAGCAGTACTCCAAGTGCATTACTAGCAATAAGGGTCTTTAGTCCTCACTACTAACAATTCCCTGTCCCCAATTCCTTATATATTCTTAGTAGTGACTGTAAACAATCAATATTGTTGTAGAAAAGAAATTATTCAAAGTATATTTGAACAGGTTCGACATCTGCGAATCGAGGGGCTTGCGGCGGCCCGCAGGTGGTCGCCCGATACGCAAACAATCCTGTTTGCCTCGCGCCTTAAGCCGGCCATTCACTATGCGTCCAACATTTAAGGGGATAGGATACAATCCCTTTAAACAACAGATGGATGGATGTCATTAAACAATGAATAATAAATATGACGTTGGTCTATAAAAAGTATCTATTTTACCACAATTCTTGCTTCTCAATATATTTATGAAAATATCATGTATGCCAGGAAGAATATAGACAGTTTCAGAAGAGTTAGTGATTGCACTAATAAAAGCTTACGTAACAATAACAAACTGATTTTACCTAAATGTCGTTTGGCTAAAGTTAGTAATTCGTTTTATGGCAATTTTACAAGAAAATACCAGAGTCTGTTATAAATCTGCCAGCAAAAAGATTTAAACAACATCTAAAAACTGACAATATTATCTGATTACACTAATAATGAGTGCGTAGCGATTTCTATGTTGATTAAAAAGAGCAACACACAAGTTTCTTGCTCATTCTTCTTGTGATGAATCTGCATTCCGAATGAGTGGTAGAATAAAATATGACTATTCAAAAGTGCTTGTAATGAGTTTATTTGAATAAAGATTATATCAATTTCTATTTCACAGTTCCCCTAGAAACCATCGTGATAAATAATGGTGAATTTACCACGATGGGCTAACTGACCTCATTTTCATCTTATCCTTCACTGGTGCCCCGCTAGCGTAAATCGCTAGCGCCATAACCAATGCACCATTCCATCATCATATATTAAAAAATATATATAAGCAGATGTTGTAATGTCTGTTAATCTTTAGTATACATTTTCTTATACGTAATTTCCATTTTTATATATATTATTTCACACCATATCTCTTAAAGGCTGTTGAAACACTCGCAGCGGATTAACGCGAAAGTCTAAAAGGGCCCGATCCGACCCGATTTGTCAGCGCTATTATCAATAATGTAGCGATTACAGCGCTCGATGGGTGCGCCGCTTTATTTCTCCCTTTTTCATCGCCACAACAATCACGTGTGCGCGATAAATCCTAAGTACGAGTGGTATACATCCCGCGGGCGTGCACTGCACCCGATTGTCACGTACGAGCTCCAATGGATGTTATAATGCTTAGAATTATTCTGTATTCCTTTTTCCTCCTTTACGTTCCGCCCCTTTTCATATCGCTGAATGAATACTTGATCTCGTGGAAAGGAATTAGGGTGTCTCACGAGTTATTGCCCGTACCGCGGTCTGACACGTTGCGATGGCGGCGGTTAATCACGACAAAAAAGTCAGGATTCTCAGAAACAGTGCCTTTTGTTGCCTTTACACGAGACTCTTTCACGCGCGATCTGGAGCGCGCGCGATAGAGCGAGATAGCCAGTTTTTTTTGTTCACTCTATCGCGTGTGATCATGTTATTTTCCTATCATTTTTTTTTTTATTTCACAGTGTTTGTATTAAGGTTCAATTAAGGTTTCTTAAGGGTTGGCAACGCATACGTGACCTGCTGTTTTAGGCGTCCATAGGCTATGGTAACCGTTTACGTCCAGATAAAACGTACGCTTGTTTACTACCAACATAGTATAAAAAAAATTCCAGAGACACGTTAGTTTTATAAATTATCTATAACTCTATAATTGACGACCTCGGTGGTCCAGCGGTCTAGCACACCGCTTTACGTCCGATGGTCGCGGGTTCGATTCCTCGCACGGCACAAACATTTGTATTCATGAGTATGATTGTTTGTATCGGTCTGGGTGTTTTCTATATATAATATGTATGTATTTACAAAAAAAAAATAGCTATGTATTTGTATCAGTTATCTAGTACCCATAACACAAGCTTTAGCTAGCTTAACTTGGGTCTAGATGGCGCTGTGTGAATTGTAAAAAAATATATATACTGCCCAGGGGGAAAGGGATCGTCAGTAATGTGGACTGATGATCTTATTGCTAGTAAAGACCAAGTCAGGTTGACCTCCATGCGGTTCACCTGGAAACCATCGTGATAAATTCTTGGTGAATTTGTCACGATTGGCTAACTGACCTGACCTCATGTTCATCTTATCATAGTCCACTGGTGCCCCGCCAGCGTAACCGTTAGTGCAGGCGGGTGCACCATTCCATTATCATTCAGAAAAAAGTGGCTAAAATGTCCTACATGAATAAATGATTTTTGAATTGGGTCGGAGCATGAATTCTGTGGGTCATGCGAAAATCTTAATCACAGCTGACTCGGGTGTGTTGTGCTGGGTCGTAACTCGAGCGGCGGTTGGCGGTCGTCCAACACTGCCGACGCTTATTAAGTTAAGTGATCACCTTACATATTTTTTTTTTCATACTTAAATACATCTTTCCACACATATATTCGTCCGTGCCTTTTTTTAATTTACTTTAATATTATAATATTTATTTAATTTCCACTTGGGTGCAACGCCAGCCGAGATGTTACAATTTGCCTAACAGTGACACCGAGGCAGACCTTATCCGTCTGGCCCAGAACCACCGCTGGCCGGCCGGGTGAGTTGACAACATGCAGTGTCACCCATCTTTATTTGGAGGATTAGATTTACCAATATGCATATACAATTATATAAATCTTACACTACTACTAAATTCACAGTTTTCATTACATTGTGCAATGTAAAAATTCATAATGTAACAATACACATTATGAATTCTTACACTGCATATACAATTATATGAAATCTTATTTTAACACTATTTTCAAAGTTCACCTTGCATATTCGCGCTGTTCATGTGCGCGGACCGCCTCCGTATGCCACGCATCTTGTGCGGTAATTAAGCCAAACGACAAAAGTAAGTTAAGAAATGAAGTGTGCTTTTTACTTTTTATTAACAGGGTAGTACGTTGTTTGTTGATTATAATCTTTTTTCTTATTCGTTGATTGAAAATGAAGTTGAATGATTTCTTTTTTCGGACTACTCTAATGCTGTTGGCTGCAGCTGGCCTTTACAGCTTCACTGGACGTTAAGGGGCGAGTGCAGATGGTATTCCAAATCCGCGGAAGGATTTATGCAGGCCAACTTTTGCCTGACGGAAACGACTTTAGTCTGAGGGCATCACTAGGGGTTCGAACCTCGGCTCAGGCCGTCGTAATTTCGATCCCCGTTTGAATTGGACGAGGGATCGATCGGAGGGGTGATTTATTATAATCAGGAAAAAAATCATTTTATTTATAAACTTTCTTTTATCGTAAAAGCAATATTAACAAGTTTCTTTAGATCTCATTTTATTCAGGTATATATCAAAAAAATATTTTCGGAGTTAAATCTATACATATAAATAAAATTGAAGTGTCTATTTGTAATATTGAAATAATCGTTAGTTACTACATGCATATGAATATAAATATGTACCGTATTTATATTCCTAACCAAAATAACATTTTAACATATTAATAATTTATTTTTTCCCTACAGTCCAGTTCGGTATATAGATCCAATTGAGAAGAACTGGCTAGAAACTCAACTTCTTTTTTTTAAAAGACAGTTTATTTCAATTTATATTTATTAAGTGTCTAACATTAAATGAAGATCAACTATTGCCATGCACGCTCGTTGTATATTCGCCGATGCTTCACAACTACACTTCAAGTACTACAATCAAAGTCAGGGGAAATAAAACACTTTAATTTACGACAAAAGTGTAATGGGATAATTTTTTTCGGACTACTCTAATGCTGTTGGCCGCAGCTGGCCTTTACAGCTTCATTGGACGGTAGGGGGCGAGTGCAGATGGCACTCCAAACCAAAGGAAGGACTTATGGAGCGGCTGAAGGCCAACTCGCGCTTGACGGATACGACTTTAGTCTGAGGGCAGCACTAGGGGTTCGAACCTCGGCTCAGGCCGTCGTAATATCGATCCCCGTTTGAATTGGACGAGGGATCGATCGGAGGTGGGTAATAGGATCAATATGTACACAGATCAAAAGCCACTGTCCAATAATAATTCTTACAACTAGTCAGTAACTACAAAACGAAAACATATCGCGTTGTAGAAATTGAACAGCACCATCTAGTGACAACTGTGTAAACTAAATTTACAAAAGACGATTAAACACTCGTCATTCCTATTAAATAGGCACAGGCCATATATAGACAATCCACTAAATGATAATTTGGTATATATTTAAGTTTATTCTATATATATATATATAAAGAAATTCTTTATAATAATATAATTAAATATTTCAACAATATAAATTTTGGCGCGCTCCGCGCAGTTAATTGCGAAGTGTGTTAGAGGGACCGTGTAAAAACGTGAATAAGTTTATATAAAATATATTATTTTATG